TCTTTCAATTTCGATAAAAAGTTGTAGACTGGTTATATATGTTCCCATTAGATTATAAACAAAATTTTAGCGCATTGGCAACTATCTTAGCGGAGATAATCGGGGTTAAAGGTCCAAAAAACGTCTTTTTTTGCTTTTTACTGATGTCAAATAATTAGTTTTTAATTTAAAACTAAATATGATCAAATATGGAATCTAATATCAATAGCTAAGTTAATAATTGTTAATTATGGCTAAAACATCAAAATTAATTTTTGATAAAATTTGGGTCATCTTATGGTAAGTTGAAAACTTGAAAATATTTCGAAATGTATATGATCTCCGATTTTTAATTTTTTTAAGAAATATTATCTGTTTACTATATTTTTAATAATTTCTTCAACAATTAGCATGGCTGGATATTTATTTAAAAAAATATTGAGATTTTTATACTTTAAAAAAATAGATGGCGCTATATAAAATAGTTTTAATATGTTAAAATTCATTTTTTTTATTGATTAAAAATATTTTAATGTATAATATATCATAAAATTCGATTATATAACTTTGTAAACCTTATTCCCCTGAGATATTCACAGGATAAAAAATTTTAATAATTTTTTTAATTATTTGAATGTAAATTAAAAATAATTAAAAAATCCGACTAACGAACAAAAAAGCAGGATTAAAGGAGTGCAGGAAAATTATTAAGGGAAAAATCGAAAATCACATTAATTACCAGGCCTACCCCCAACCTTCCACCCCCCCCCCCAGACTAAGTCATATACCCATAAAGATCAAGAATGTTATGAAATTGTCATTATCTTAAATTATTAAAATAACCAGAGATGAAGAAAATTTCGAAGATTTTGAAAAAATTTTTAAGCAATAAAAATAAACAAAATTATAGTTCTGATGAAATAAGCCGACTCATGCCTGGAATAAAAGATTGTGTATCTGTTAAAGGCGAGAAAGAATCAGTCCAAAGACTTATATTAAATAAGCTTAAATAAATATTCAAGATGTTTAAGGAAGAATACTCAAATATATTAATTGGATTTTCTAAATTTGCCGAACTTAGACCAAAAAACTGTATTTGCTCCATTCATCAGAACGTGATATTAATGACAAATGTAATAGCTGAAATTACAGCAGGAAAAGATTACTGTATAAATTCTTATAACTATCTTTTGGCGCTAATTATTTGTAATCCAACTCAGCCAAAATGTTATTTAACAAATTGTGATCAATGCCCTGATATAGAATCTCTTAAGGGCCAATTATACAATTGTTTCAGAGAAATCGTATAGAATATGTCACGTTTAAACAATGGATCACGGTGGATAGAGCAAATCTTGAAACTATTATAAAGTCCATTGATGATTTCATCGAATATATATTAGAAAAAGTTCAAATTTTACTGCGTCACTCTTTATAGCTAAACACAAAGTTTATTTTTGAAGAATTCCAAAGAAAATTTAAAAGATGGGGAATTTTTAACAATTCTAGATTATTCTGAAAATTATTCCTTCATTTTACAAGATGAAGTTCAGGGATTTCATTGGAACAACGTGCAGGCCACTATACATCCATTTGTGGCATATTATAAATCTGGAGAAGAATTAAAAAATATAAATTTTGTTATTTTATCCAAATTTAATTCTAAACCAGAAAAAATAATATATTTTTCAGATGAAGCCGCGTCTCAATACAAGAATCGCAAAATTTTTCTGAACATATGCCTTCATAAATACGATTTTAATATCCCTGCCGAATGGCATTTCTTTGTCACTGCTCACGGCAAAAATGCATTTGACGGTATCGGAGGAACTGTCAAAAGATTAGTTGCCAGAGCTGATCTTCAAAGGCCAAATAAAAATCAAATCCTAACCCCATTAGAATTATATAATTATGCTAAAGAAAATATTAATGGAATTCAATTTGAATATGTATCCAATCAAGAATATATCGAAGAGGAATTAGCCCTTCATAAAAGATTTAATTCTGCACAGCCCATACATGGGACCCAAAAAATTCACGGGGTTATTCCCATTGATCAAAATAGACTAAAAACCAAAATATATTCTAATTCCAAAAAATATAATATAAAACAAGTTTCGTTTTTAGAGAAAATTAAATTTTAAAATATTAATTGATATATAACATGTGTATATGATGATAAATGGTGGTTAGGATATATAATCGATAAAAATGATATAAATGAAGAAGTAAAAATCAGATTTTTACACCTTTGTGGTCTTCAGCCTCATTTTAATTTCCTCTAGATGATATTTTAGTGTTGCCTAAATCTCATATTCTCTCGCTGGTCAATCCTTCTACTCCCACCAGTCAAACATATATATTATCTCCTGAAGAAATCTCACAAGCTAGCCAGGCTTTGTATTCCTTTAGATGAAGTAAGATTTAATTAATTTATAAACTATCATAATTAGGCTAAATTTGTGAAGATTTTAAAAATTTATGATCTGAATTACAAATAAATATATATAATAGACATTGTAATCGATTTAGTATGATATATATACATTAAAATATTTTTAATCATTAAAAAAATAAATTTTAACATATTAAAACTATTATATATAGCGCCATCTATTTTTATAAAAATCGCAATAATTTTTTAAATAAATATCCAGCCATGCTAATTGTTGAAGAAATTATTAAAAAAATAGTAAACGGATAATATTTCTTAAAAAAATTAAAAATCGGAGATCATATACATTTCGAAATATTAATTTCAAGTTTTCAACTGACCATAAGATGACCCATATTTTATCAAAAATTAATTTTGATGTTTTCGCCATAATCATCAATTATTAACTTAGCTATTGATATTAGATTTAATATTTGATCATATTTAGTTTTAAATTAAAAAATAGTTATTTAACATCAGTAAAAAGCAAAAAAATATGTTTTTTAGACCTTTAACCCCGAATATCTCCGCTAATATAATTGCTAATGCGCTAAAATTTTGTTTATAATCTAATGGGAACATATATAACCAGCCTACGATTTTTCATCGAAATCGAAAGGGGTCGGCCGAAAAGTGATTGATTTGACATGGAATGACCCATAGCGATTTAAAATATCTGGTTATTAAATATGTGGCCCGACCTGGGTATTTTTTTAAAAAAGTTTTTAGGCCTAATCCAGGCATATTTAAAAAAATTAGAATACGACCTGGGCGGTGTACCCGACGGCCTGCAGGTCTCTGAAATATATTAAACAAGTATATGTATCAGAGACATGCAAGCTCGGGCAGTATATTAATTTTTTTTAAATATACCAGGGCCGGGCCGTATATTTTAACACCAAATATTTTATATAGTCATTATTAACTATACAAATTAAAAACAAACATAATATGAAATTCGAACCTGGCCGTGAAATTATTTTTTAAAATAATCTGGGCTGGGCCAGGCCGAAAATTTTTTTTGTATATATATTTGATGAATAAAATATAGTGTTTTTAACTTAATCAATCCCCAAGATTATAAATAGTTGTTTATTTTTGTTTAACAACATATATTTTGTTTTAGGCCTTGTATAAAAAAATTTAAAAATTGGGCTAGGCCACACAACTTTAGAAAAGAATGAAACTGGCAAGGATCAAGCAAAAATTTGGCTGGGCATTAACTAACTCTCACCTTAGCCTTAACTAATTTCTCATCTGGGCTTGATAATTTTGTCATTTACCAATCACTGATTGACATATACGTTCCAATTATTTGCTCATATTGAAGGTACTATAAATATATACTTCATTAACATATTCTATAAAAATAATATTAAAAAATCAAATAAACTCTCATCAAAACAAAGATAAATTTCTGATTCACACCTCATAAAATGGGTTAATATTTGATTCATCCAGTATCAAACAATAAAGGGGAAATTCTGATTACCCATCATCAAACAAAGGACAAATTTAATATTCCCCATCATTCTTGACTATCTATTTGTTATAACTCTTTATATATATATATAAAAAACCACTATGAAAACTTAGAAAAGATGATAAATATTTGGGGTCAGATGTTTCAAATAATGCTTAGTACTATGCTTATGATTATCCATATAGGACAGCAAAAATGTGCTTTGCTCTAATTTCTAAGATAAGAAAAAAAATCAAAATTATAATAATTCATATTTCTACTCTAATAAAACTATATCATTAACTACTCATATTATTTGAACATCAGAACTGTTGTTCACTCTCAATATTTTTAGATAATATATTAATAATATAAATATGAACTGGTAAATAGTTATTTTATTGAGTATATAAAGAAATATTTTTGAGATATTATGAAATTTATATTAAAAAAATTAACAATTATCTTCTATAATTTATGCTTGGTTGTGAGAACATACATTTGCTGGAACCTTCAGAAAATGATTTCAAAAAATATCTTTTTAATGTGATAGCCCATTATATATTGCTGATGAAGAGTAAATTATATATTTAGTAATTAGAAAATAAATCATTATTGTATTAAATAGGTTAGCAAAGTATATATTTAGTACCTTCTCAACTATGCAGACGTTAGTAAATGTTATAAAATCATAAAGTTTTTATTTAATGTATAGTTAATGGAAATAAATATTCTCTATCCAGCTTTTCAAACTGCTGAACAAAATTCTAACACTAACATTAAAATAGCTGAATTGAAAAACTCATTGCGAGAAAGCAAAATATAATATAAATTTTTATTAATAGTGTCAATACGCATGGTAGTGTAAGCCCAAAGCGTGTGCTTTTGAAACAGATTCCTGGTTCGATACTATGGCAAAAAATTAACATTACACTATATAGTCTCCTTAAATTTGAAAACTTTAAGATGATACCATAACGATCATGTTTTGAATATGGAGATTATATATATTAGATAATATAAGGTGAGATATCCATCATATAATAATAAAAAATTTAGCTTCTAAACTTCATTAAAAATATATAAAATAAACGACATCAAATTTTTTTTAAAGAACTTTATTACTTTATACTTGATTTGCAACTGCTCATCATTGACATCTGTTTGCAAAAGTGAAGCTCGATTAATAAAAGCTTCAGCTTGAGCATCATCCCCAGCATTCAGGTACAAATCAGCAATCTTAACGTAAATTTTCAATTTGAAATCTTTCGGATATTGCCTAGTGTATATATATATATATATATGTGTGTGTGTGTAAGTAATATAAAAGAACTGTTATAAAAATTATTTTTTCTAAATTGTTGATTGCATCTTTTTAATAATTTTTTTTTCATAAATATAATATTTCATTTTGAAATTTTGGCATATCGATATCACGTAATTAATATATCTAGCCACCAAAATTTGAAACCTATTTATTGACGATTAAAAATATTATTTTTTTTAAATCAGAAGATAGTTTGGAACCTCGGTAATATGTGTTGAAAGACAAATAAATACTGCGCAGACATCTCCATAATTGAAAAAAAAACGTTTCAGGATCAGTTATCCAATATTCAAATAAAGACAGCGACAATTGTAATAAAAACCTATACAGGGCAAAGGATATTACCTAAAGGGGAGATAAAGACGTGAGCAACGTATAAAAATCAAGCATATTATTTGCTATTAATTATAATGATACCACTATTTCTGAATAAGATATACTATCTAAAATACCAGAAATTAACCATGGCTCAACCTAACCCCAAAGAAGACCATCTAATAGAAAACTCACCAACGCCTCTTGCAATCAAGATCAGGGGAAGAAAATGACTCCATAAACTTATTAGATGTATCAGAAAAACCATCAACACCATGCAACACACCCGATAACGCCATGCTCCAATATAGAAAAGGAGAGGTTAATCTTCCCTCCAACAACCAAAGACCCGCCACTCAGTTTCGAGAAACCTCTTTCCTATAAACCAGTGATATCAATACCCGTTCAAATTAGATCAATAACTCCTCCCTGTGAACTACCAGTAATCGATTTTAAATATTCACTAATACCGATTGCAAAGTACACAAGTCAAGACGCAAAAACGACACCTTTCCTCAATTCCCCCATATCAAGCAAGACAGACCACATACAATATAAAGGGGCCAATACCAAATACAAGGCCTTACGGAAAAGAGAAGTCTTAACCAACGAAGTAGAGGACCACCAACGCAACCGATCGCAATCGGAAACAGAAACCTTCATGGGCCGGGTATGGGCCTAATATTATATTTACTAGTGGGCCTGGGCCGGGCCTGGATTTAAAATTTTTTCAATGGGCTTGGGCCTAAAATTATTATATTTAAATTTAGATTATTTAAAACAGTTGCTAATTTAAAGAAATATTACCCTTTTTTCTTCTAATGATAATAAATTTCAGTATTGTAAACAAAATGATTGCCTAATATATTAAATATTGTTTATTTTTATTAAATAAAAAAATTAAATTTTTGGATATGGGCTTGGGCCAGGTTTGGGAAATTTTTTTGAAACTTATCAGGGGCTTGGAAATTTTTTTAACATTAGATATGGGCCAGGCCTAGCTTGGGTCTAAAAAAAATTTCTACTGTGGGCATGGGCTGGGCTTGGTCAAAAAATTAAGGCCCATGAAGGTCTCTAATCGGAAATCGTGGACAATGGATTGAAGAAATCTGAAGAGCCATGTGCACCAACAAGCACCAAAAATACAAAATACATTTTTTTATAATCCATATATAACTTGAACACGTTTTTTGAATCATTATTATATCAACATTTAGTAGTTTTTTTTGTGGCCCTCACCCAATCATATACTAACGGGGGAGGAAGAGTTGTAGGGAACTCCACCGCAATATTTTTTTTATATGGGTATTACAAAGTTTTATTTTTAAAAATAAAGCAGTACCCTTTTTTTGTCCCTCCCTAAAAGCCACGGTGTTAACTTATACCGGGGGGAAATATTCCTGTGTCACTCTCAGCTAAACCCCTTTCTCTTTCTCTTTCTCTTCCCCCGAAGTTTATTATAGCGGAATTATTTAATTGTCCCCTCATTGTGTTTTAACAAGGTCCAGCATTACAAAATGTGAAATTGATGAATAACTATTCAATTTCAAAGATAAAGGCTAATATGTTATAACTTGTGTTTACCATCTTTTTATGTAACTTTCACTGTTTTTACAAAGTTTGTGTTTTATTTTTCTAAATAAAATGTATTTGGTAAACATTAATGAAAAAAATCTATCACAATTTATAAAGTCGCGTATTACAGGATAACCTAATAAAGGAAGAACAGAACCTGTCATGTGTCAACTTTTTATTCTAGATCCTCCTATTTTTGGTGATTCCTACCTTTATTGACAATGGTCAAGGCTACTTCTTCTAATCTTAACTCAAGCTAGCCGGCGCATCTAATCCTATAACTAACCTCCTCCCTTAAAGTCTTTTACACACCATGAACCCTGTACTTCAAATGTAATACTATGATTTATAGATGTATCGATATTTATCGGATTGGATCAGGCCGTTCACCCATTTTAAAATATCGGTTATCGGTCAATATTATAAAATTTTCGGATCCAATATAAAATGGTGTATTTAACAAAAATATAATGTTATAAAATTTAAAAAAAAATTTATATCTAAAATCATTTATTTTTATAAATAAAATCGAAATCCATTTTTATGTATATTTTTTTAATAATAATAACTAATTAATAAACATTCTGCCATATTGTTATTTTTTTGCGCATTCTGTTTATAAAAGTGTGCGATAATCTTTTCAGAATCTGTTTTTAGTGAAGCTGGTGATATTGACAGTTACCATCACTGCAGGCTGACCTCTAATAAATGGAAATATTGGTTTTCTAAAAAAGAAATCTTCGATATATTAATGTTAAATATTTATTTCAAATTTCATAATATAATTGTTTATTATTTATTAATTATTATGTATATAGATTAATGTTAACTAATTATATAAAAGTGATTTAATGTCATTACTTATTATATAAAAGTGATTTAACAATAAAAATATTTTATATACTTTTAGAATTGCAAATGAATTGAATATAAACTATAACTGATCATTATTATATATTTAAATGACATAAGTTATGTTATTGTTATATTATAGATGTTATACTAATAAAAAGTATATTATTAAAACCATTGGAATCTTTACAGAATACAAAATTAGATATGATATCGGATTGGTAATTGGCCTATATAAATTTAAGATAAGGAATATTGGATAGAATCGGCCTCCATAAAGTGGTATCGGTACACCCTTAATGATTTGCTATTTTGAGAATTAAATTCAAATCCTCACATATAGGTTTTATCTTTCTTAAAACTGGAAAAATTCAAAAGTAAAAATGTAATCATTAATAAACTTTTGGCCAGTTTCTATAGGAATAGCAGATAACACATCAGCAGCTTCTTTCCAGTCTTCTTCCTTATCGTAAATCTCACTGAGATTCATCCTGATGTCTATGGCCTTTTAAAATATAAGAGTTTATCGACCATAAAAAGTGTGTATTGATTAAGAGGACAATCTGATTTTATTTAATGATTATGGAAAATTTTTCTATAAAGAAATATATCTTTCATAATTATTTTTCATAGTTTAAACTTAGACTAAAAACAATTTTGGTTTAATATTTTTTTAAAGAGAAAATTTGAAAAAAAGTTGTGATTCTTAGACAGATGGTTATGTTTTGGTATGTTAATACACAATAGAACACTAAATAAACCTAAAAAACAAATTTTGAACACTATATACAAAAATTTGTTGTACTATTCTTACAGACAGTTCCTTGAAAATTTTAAAAGCAGTTCTAGTCTTGCTTTTTAAATTTAGCCAGTTTTAAATATTTGTATTTATAAAATATTTCAGATATTTTGCATTATATAAATAAAAATTAAATGCTTTAAAATTTTTTTTAATTATTCTGATTAAGCCATTATTATTTTCTGCATTGCATTGTATTTTATTGTAGTGATTTGAATGAGAATATATCCCTATTTATTGAGTGGTGGGAGACCCTATATGATGACAGACCATTTTTTCTATTGTCAGGTTTTTTATTAGCACTTCTTTTAGTTGCCAAATATAAAATTGTAATTGGAAAAACTATGATTCATCTATTAGCTAGTAGTTTTTGTTATTCAATATATATACATGTTACAATTAAATTATGTGCAGCCAATATGTATATTTCCATAGTTAAATTGCATAATATTTCATAAAATTGTCTGAAATTGAATCACTTAAATCTAAAAAAGTCACCTAATCAAGATTATTAATTAATAAAAAATTATTTATAAGTAAACCCATATTTTCTAAATTGCTCATTTTTAAAATGTAAAATATTAATCTGTTGTTTGCAAATATTATTCTAGTAACTTAAATTGTTTAATATATTTTTTTCTAAATTTTTCTATAGCAAGTATTAATTAATTTAAAAAAATAATATCACGTTTTAAATAAATTAAATATATATTTAATTTTATTATTCTTCTATAAGTATATAATCAATTCATAAATATAATTTAAATTTAATATTAAACAATATACATCATGGTGCCACATCATGCCACCAAACTACTTCGATAAATGATTGGTACTAGGTATAGGTGAATATAACCAATTGATTAAGGCTTATATTTAAATTTATTATTTTCTAAACATTTTAATATACTTTACAAAGAAAACTTATTCAGATAAAAAAAATAGTTACATGTTCTTCAAAGGATATAAGCCTTGTTTGAATGTATTCCAGTGAAAGCATATACAATTGTTTTGAAATATAAGGTGGTAGCTTTTGAAATACCTTAATTAATTCAGAAAACATTTGACGAGAAAAAATCAAACTTAGATTTTCACTCAAAACTAAAAAAAATTAAATAATACAACAGATAATCTCACTCAATTCTATAACAAGTTTGGTGGATTCATATATTAGATTTTCTTCAACATTAGTTAGCGATGTTATCAGATCTAATGTTCTAAAAAAATTTAAATATTTAATTATAAATTATATAAACTTTTCTTGTTGCAATTTGGGTTGGCCATTCAAATTACTAATCATTTCAATCTGTAGGCATATGTGTTTCATTTTTTTATATTTGACTATCTTATCTTATCTTGCACGTTGGTCATAGACCTGCCCAAAATGAGCGAAACCTATTTTTCTCAGGATACCGACAAACCTTGTACCTAGATGAAACTAATTTATGAGTTGAACTAACCCACTTCCAATAGAGTGAATAGTTTGATTTAGCCGAAGATAGAAAATATATTATAAGGAGAAATAGAATAGATGTACAATAAAAAGGAATACTGTTTAAAGCCTTCCAAATACAACAGTCTAATGTTAAGTTTAATTTATTTTTATAAAGGACTTACTAAACCACCATAAAAAAGGCTAAAATTTAATATTGGTCATTTTTGACAGATTATGAAATAAATAGTTTTCAAATATTTAGCGAGCAAATAATTTTCTAAATATCTGCTATAGTTTAATAAATTAATCCATTAATTCTTTATATTCATTAATCTAAGAGACCAATCAAAATTATATTGTATACAAATCATCATAACAATTGAATTATCTTGTTAATTTATACTAAATATATTATATAGTAAGAATATAATTTATATGGTTTTATAATAAAAGAATTCAAGTATTTATGCTAAATAAAAATATTGTAATATAAATTAATGCATTAAAAGGATATTTTGATTCAGAAGTAATATGCACCAAATCATAATATTTTATTTAATTTTATTGTATTTTCAAAATTAATTATTAGATTAGACTTATATTTTTCGAATTTGCTAGTCAAAACGTTATAATATCAAAATCGGTGAAAATTAAATTCAATATTCCCAAATATTTTATCCCAGTGCAATATAAAGAGAAATATATTATGTATTAAAATATCATTATTTAAATATATAAAGAATAAATGAAGATGTTTATTTTAATATCAATCGGCTGAAATATTTATAACTATATATTCCATATTTTGATACTAATATTTCTCACTATATAAATTATTACATTCATATTTAAAACTTTTTTTATTATCTTATAGCACAAAAATATATTGGTATGTTGTTCTTGTTTAACATTATTATATAACAAAAATTTACATCTGTTTGTACTATTCTTTTCCGATTTTGAAAATTAAATTTTATATTAATCTTCTTAATATTAGTTACATTTCAAAATTACAATTAAGTAGATTATTGTTTCAATTTTTTTCCTAAATTTTGATATACAACAAGATGTAACTCTTGTTCGGTCATATTTTATTAAACATGGAAGAGTCAAACGCTTCAGAGCTTAAATTCCCTCCCATATTTGAGAAGGCTGAAACCTTAATGATATCAGAAGTTTTTCAATTGCTAGAACAAAGAAAAAAACAAGATGAACTTTCTCAAGATGAAGGAGATTTTACAGATATTTTTAACAAAACCTACAATTATACAAGGGCTTTTAGCCGTTTTAAAAATCGTGACACCACAATATCTATTCGGTAGGTTCAGACAATTTTTAATAAATACTGAATTTGAATATTATGCATTACATTTTAATATTCAGCAATAGTGTTGATAATTTAATGGGTTTTGTTACAAATTATTATTAGAAAGTGAATAATTAATATTTCTAAGCTGATATTTTTTTTAAAAAAAATTATAAAAAATAAAACATTAATATTTTTAGGCCACAGGCCAACCCTATATTTTTTTTTGCTCAGTTCTGCAATTATATGTACATTTTTTTAAAAATATATTTTATCCTTAGAATTTTTGATTAACACTGATGCTTTTTCTTTCCAATATAGTAGCTAAAGATCTCCTTTTTAACTTTACAGCATCATTATAATCAAAATAATGAAAAATGATAACTAAAAACTTTAAATGTCATTGACTTCTAAACTAGATAATTTTTTCAAGATTTTTATTTACAAATATTAATAAAGCACTAAGTTACATATCATATAAATTATAAAAAATGATTATAATATTTTTTATGTTTATTGCAATTAATGCAGAAATACATATTTTGCATAAATAGCCTTACTGTTAAATTATATAGTGAAAATAGCACAAACATTTTTTTGGTATAAAAATGATATTCATTAGGAATAATCAACAAAAATCAGAGCTTGAAACTATCTTTGAAATAAAAAATATTCAAATATTTTTTTAATTGAAGATTTTTATGCTTAAACAAAATTTTTGATGAAATTTTTCCCAAAATTCTTATTCATTGAGTTTATTATTAAAAAATGAATTTAAAATCAAGGTCATAAAAAACAATTAATGATTGAAAAAATATAGTTGCATATATATATAAATTTTAAAACAACAACTGAGTAACAATTAAATTAAAAAAAAAACAATTAAAAGATTTGTTTACTTGCATTGCTTTATGGAACAATAACAAAAAATCTTTGTGATTTTTATTAATAAATAATATTTCATGATGAAATCAATTTTTTTAAAAATAGATAATGAACTTCTTTATTCAGATTATATCATTAAACTTAAATTTTTAGCATCAGAATGTTTTTTGTTGTATATCTAAAAGAAGAAAAACAATGGTGAGGCTAAATAGTTGAACCTTCATTTTTTGAACAACATAATATTTTCATACCAAATTTAAGTATTCTCTAATTAATCTAACGGGTATTTAAAAGAAAAAAAATTATTTAGTCAGCTTGAAATTTGAAAATAGTATCTCAGCTAATGAAAGTAGTAGTTTGGTCTGAGCTAATTTAATTAATATATACATATATATATAATAATAAGATCAGCTTTATTAAGATCATATAAAAAGAATTATTTATTTGATATTCCATTTTTAAACTATGACCCAATACATGTCATAGATTGTATCATCTTTCTTGTTAATCTATTTCTTTTCACAATTAACTAATATAGATTAAATATTTGATAATTTTATAAAGATAACATTATTTTTCTGTTGGTAACTAAGACTTGCCAAACTCATAGAAATAATTTTAAAAATTAAACTGTCAGTTCAGTCCAAATTAAAAATTAGGACCATTGATCTTCAAAAATTACAGCTTAAAATATAATAATTTCCTTTAATCTTTTATATATTTAATTGTAATCCAATAATTTTTCTTGCAATCACAGTTGATTAATAATGTCAAATTACCTTACTTTTTCTTAATTTTTAAATTACAAAATTAAAGAATTTTATCAATAAGTTTTTGAATAGTACAATATTAATTGTATAATTTAATTTGTGATCAATAATTACTTCTCAGGAATTTGGTTTTTATCAATAATTTTAATTGCATACCTTTTGCATCTAGTCTTTGAATAACTCATGTTAGATCAAACAAATTAGTTATAAATTTGTTAATTAACATTATCAAAAATATTTCTAAAATATTAAACAATTTGTGTTAACTAAATTTTGGAATCATAATATTATATTTAATCAATTAAAACAATATGGGATAAAAATGTGGTCGATATTTTTAAAAAAATTTCTTCATTGTACATTGTAAAATTCTAATTTTTTTAACTAATTTAGTCAAGGTAGGGCAAGGTATGACAAAAGTTTAAGATTTACTGAATAAAACAATAATATATAGGTAATAAGCATTAATTAATTTTTTTATATAAACCATCCTCAGTTATATTATTTCTTTTCAATATTTTATCTCATTGTGCATACAACTACATTGGCATACCCTAACTGGAAAGTAGGGCTTCCCTTTAGCTTTTGATTGAACAACATATTGGGTGAAAAATTAATATGACCTATTGATGTTTTTAACACTATTCGATTTATTTGAAATTGTTTAAACCTGATTTAATTTAACCTAGATTTTATGAGTTGTTTTAAAAGGAAATCTGAAATGTGATAAGCTAATGAATGTTTTATTGAGGTAATTTAAATTTATTTTAAAAAATAAATCCGGGCCCCCGATTTCATATATTTTAAGGAGCCCATATTTTTTATTTATCCTAAAGCCTGTTTTGAGACTTATCTGCTATCCCAATCTGAAATGTGGGATATGGTTTAAAAACTGATGTTTTGAGTTTTTCGGGTTTGTTTTTTTAGAGAGCTGCCTAATTATCATGTCTCAAATCATTTTATTTTTTGTTTTAATAAGGGTTTTCTTATTTTTGTAAGCTTTTTTAGTCCACGTTTATGTTACTTTTTTTAAAATGGCTTTGTCCAATGACGTATATATACCTAGACTGACGATTGATTCAATAAAATGCATTTTTAAGCGTCGTTAAAAGCAAATCAGCTGGACCCGCCATTTTGGTAACACATATAGTAATTATTCTCATGTTAAAAACTACTATTAAATTGATAACCTTCCTTATTATCTTGATGATCCGGTAATTCTTTAATAAAGTTTGCATCAGATAGAATAAATTAGGCTCTCTTTTAAAATTATAATGATTAGTGTAACCAAAATGGCGTCTCCAGCTGATTTGCATTTATGTACAATTTTAATGAATGAATCGTCAGTCTAAGTATTATATATGTCATTGGCTTTGTCTTATTTTTTGACCCTTACAACTCTGCTTTTTTAACATCTTCGTCACCTGGGCTGGACCTATTTTAACTAATAAGAGCAAAACTTAACTATTTTATCATTAGCTTTACTCATAATTATTTATTGTATAAATCTAGAAACATGCTCATGGGGTTAAATTTACACAAATTTGAATTGGCGGCATTGGCAAATTTATGTCCAGAGACTTCAGAAGAAGCGAAGAGCCATATACCCACACTTATAGAACGTTTTGAAGATGATGAATTGCAGCCAATTTTGGATGACATGAGATCAAAAATAAGCATTCAATATTAAATTATTAAATGTCGTTAATAATGATAATACTTTAAATGATTTATTATTTAATATCTATAAATCTAAAATTGTAAATAAATATGATAGAATTTTTTAAATTATAATGAAAAAATATGTCATTTTAAAATAAAGGTATATTTCAAATTTATAAATATTTTTGAAAAATATAGTTTGCATTAAAATTTCCTGAGGTAAAAATATAGTTTTGCATTGAAATTTCCTGAGGTAAAAATATAGTTTTGCATTGAGATTTCCTGAGGTAAAAATATTAAATATGCGATTTGGAGAACGAAATTCTCAAATTATGAGTATTGTTGATTGGATGATTGTGTAAAGCCTAAATATAAAATGAGTTTAATTTAATATTAAAATCAAACGATTAATGCCGATATAGCTTCTTCAATATCGTCTAATTGGATAAGGGCCATTCTTTTTTCGTTTCTAATTATTATTGGGAACAAATTATAAGATATTTTTAAATAAATGCCCATTAATTAATATTTATTTTCAGTTTTTAATTAACAGGTTTACTAATTTTATTCACCAATCCCACTACATGTAAAATCTAATGGGCTACTGAGCAGCAAATATGTTTGTTAGTTTACCAAACTATAGTTTATAAGGCTTACCAAACTTGTGGACTATGCAACAAAGATAAGAGTTATTGTTTATATTAGATAATGAGAAATTTAAATTTTATTAAAAACCAAACCCAATTCGGCAAAATTTAACATATACTTAGGGCTGTTGAGCAGCCTATAAGTTTCTGTTAGTCTTTACCGAACTCCGCAGTTCAATTGTGTTAGCGGTGCTTTGCTCTATGCAACAAAGATCAGGGTTAGCGTTTATATTAGATAAGGATAAATACTAATTTTATTAGCAAACCCACTCATTCGGTAAAATATAACATAAACTAAAAAAATAATTTTATTTGAAACTGAAAATATGAATTAAAAACTGAATTTCAATTATTCTACTATAATTAAATATAAATTATTGTTTATAATGTATAGCCTTTTTAGTCACATCTCAAACACATTGTGACCTTTTGAAATATCACGTCTTTTTCCAGTTTGAAAAAAATAATTTTTTTAAAGAAAGATTTTTGATCAAATTTTACTTAAATATGCGAAATATTTTTAAAAATTTTCATATATAAAAAATCTTTCAAGTTAAATCACAAATTTATTTCAGACTGAAAGTAATTTTCGCAAATGAAAGTATATTTTAATTATTATATTATATGAAGCGACTTATTAAATCTATTTAAATTGAACATTTATATTAAGTGTTCTCTTTATCAAGGTTTTAAGCTATTTTTGTAGATAAAATAATTCCGTTATTTTGCCTTACTCCTTATCGACAAGTTTTTTATTACAATCCCACTTTTATAAGTTTTGCCATTTTTGAAGAATAATTATAATTCCGTTATATAGATAACCCGTTTTAAATTTATGCATTAAATCTTAATATTCAGCAATAACTATTCATTGTGATATTTTATCAGCCACGAAGAATAGGAGGGAAATATAATCAATATTAATTTTCGACACGATTTTCTTTCCATTTAATTAAATATCTTCTAGTGCTATTTTTTTTAAAAAAAAGACACTTTGATATTACCAAAGGCACTCGTGTGTTTGAAAAATGCCACTTTGACTAAAAAGAAAGCGATAACACAGATAAATTAAGTAATTGAATTACACAAAATATTTGAATCCTTTCACATTAAATCCTGAATTGTCAAATAAATTTCTTACAAAATTTTCTTCCATATCTAATCTATTTTAAAAAAATATATAGGTAATTAATTATAAAAATTAGATTATAATTACGGTATGTTGGATAAATGTAATACTGAAGAAGGGGGCACAATATTATTGTAATTCTTAGAGCCTGGCTTCTTAAACCGGTGTAAAGGTGAATTTATATATTCTTTAGTCAAAGATCCATCCTATTGTTGGTGAATAAATTATTATTCACATTATAATCATATAATTGATTACTTCTTGGCTTTCCTTAGGCATTTTAATACTTTGGTATTTTGATATTGAAACACGAATATTTTTGCCATACATTCTTAGATTGTCAAGATTATTTATAGCTAATGAATGAATTTAAAAATATTATTATAAACAGTTACTTATTATATTTTCGAAAACTCCTAAATTATTAATAAAATGCCAATCACAGATTTTAAGATTATGATTGGACATAATTTTAATTTTATTATTATCAAATTTTTGAAGAAACTTTTTTAAAAAATAAATTATAAAAATGATTTTTCTGTGTCTTATTAAATTATAAAATTAATTTTTCTGATTAAAATTATAATTTTGCATGAATAAAAGAGTGTTAAATATGCGAAGAATTTACTCAGATATCTGACGTGATAATTAATTATAAACATCAATTTTTTTGTATTAATTATACCTAAATGGGCTTGTGAAGGATTACTCATCTGAATTAAAGCAGTGTCTCGTTTATTATATAATATCTTTATTTTGTAGACGTCTCCATACACACCTATATTTATAAGTTATTGTATATTCTGATAGGATTAATAAAAGCAGATTATATAAATACATTTTTTTAATTTTTAAAATAAAGAAAAATATTTACCAAACAGGATAAAGAGTGCATCTGCAGTCACTTTCTTTACGAATTACGATATGTAAGGTTGAAAATGAAATGAGTTAAAATAAAGTAAAAAAAGAAATTATTTTGGTAATTGTGTATAGTGTATGTAATAATGTTATTTGAAAAAGGTTAAATTTTAAATGTAAGCCTTTTTTTAAAAAAACATGATTGAATTTGATATGATTAGTTGACCTGATCGTTGAGATTACTAACAATTATAACACTGCCTATATGATCACTTTTAAAAACAATGGGAGATTGATTTAATGCATCGAGGTTGATAATCATAGGTTTATTAGAGTTAGGATTCAAAGGTTGCCCAAAAACATTTTGCAAAGCTATAAAAATGGAATATTCAATTTTAATAATGAAAATAATGTTAAAAAACCCAGATTTGATGGAATTAGGTGACCCATATTACCAGGAAAAGGTGAAATAATAGTATATGGTTGATTTAGCATATCTTGTGGAAAATTAAAATTGTTTTTTAAAGATCTAAGTTACTTGAATATTGCAACATGGGATTATCCATAGTGGCATGAAATCTCAAAGATTGCTCACCTTCCCCGTTCTTCGGATGCAAAAAGTTTTTGCTTGAATTAACGCCATTAGCCTGATCCTTCATGGGGTGCAAAGTGTAATCTCGCATTTTATCGTTATTATATTTGACTTCTAAATTGTTCAATTTAGAGAAATCGATTTTCGAAATAATACAACCATTTATATTTAAACCACATAAATTCTGATAAAATATATGTAAAACAACGATTATAAAATTTAAAAACCAATCTCGCCATTTGGGCCAAGGCCGAAGACATATATTGGACAAAGGCTTGAAATGAATCTATTGGGAAATAATAAATATATAGGTTTTAGTGGTTTAAAATCGATGTAAAAATATAATGATCACAGACCAGAGAATATAGAGACGAAATTTATTATTTCCAAAAGTTGAATAATGGGTCAAATTTAACAAATATCCTTAAATCCCAGTAATTAAACTCAATTTGGGCAAAGCTAAATAGATAAGTAATAGTTCTAGATCAGTGGCGTATCCAGGATTTTCCTACAGGTGCATTTGGGGGGGGGGGGGGACTGGCCCTCAAACCTTTTTTGGCGGGTCTTCGGCCGGGTCATATCTTTGAGCTATTCTTTAAAATTATTCATAATTCAATAATAATTATATTAATATTATTAGCTTTTACTAATTCGCGCTTATGAATATTTAAAGAAGAAATAAAGGTTATATATAACCCAATTTTTATTTTAAGTTAGGTATATTATAAATAAATTTTTTTTAAAAAATATAAAATTGAAATAAAGTTTAGTGTCAATTTTTTTTATAAAATTGGCTTAAAAACTTTTCAACTTAAATTCTCATATAATATAAGTAGAATAAAAAATTTTTTATTGAAAATACTAATGTAGTGTGTATAAAATATTGACTAGTAAATTTTTTAAAGAACAAGTTTTTATAACTTATTATCAAATACAATATTATCAAAAAATTTATTAAATGCTAGAATTATAATGTGATTTTTAATTTTCGTGGGAAATTTGCCAATTCATTAAGAATTTTGTTTGTCGTTGGAATCAAATCTCTGTGGATATTTAACAGAGCTAACTCATTTAGCCGAGATTCGGAAGTAGTATTTTGTAAATAAGTTTTCAACCTTCTCTATTGAAAAAGGTCCTTTCATTCGTATATGTTGTAATAGGCAAATATGTAAGAATATTAAATACCTTCAAAATATTTGGAAATTGAGCCAAGGTTTCCTTATACCGATTGAGCGCATCAATAGCATGCTCAGGTAAAATAATAAACGTAGTAAATATTTATACCACAATTCGAATTCACTGATTAAATTGATTTCAGTATCAATAATAGGAATAAAATTTTGCTAAATATTTAATTTTACCAATAATGGCATCAGAAAACGAAGAAGGGTCTTTAGGAAATAAAATTTGAAGATTACCAAAGACTTGTTTTTTATTTAAAAACCTACTTTAATTTGCGATAAAAAAGTATCTAAGAATGGGATGAAATTGGATATTTTATAATATTCTATAAGATTTAGTTTTGATTCAACGTCTATATAAATATTATGAAATATTCATCTACATTCATTCTTCCTGTTTACATTTTCCTCCAAATCAATAACTTGAACCAAATCGAAATTTGATATTTGTAAATTTCTACATAGTAGTGAGCTATAGGAAAATAATTTATTAATGCAACTAGCAGTAAGGATAAACTGCTTGATATTGAAAAATTTTGACGGGGCATGGGGGGGGGGGGGTAAAATTTTTATTAGCTTAAAATGATATTTAGGAAAACAGTCAAATTAGCGATGGGGGGTGAAATTTCCCCCTTCATTGGTTACGCGCCTGTTCTAGATCATATGGTATAAAACTATTTGTCTAGCGCTAAAGAATTATTAATATGCTTATCTTGTTTAATACATTGTAAGTTATACGACAATTTAAAGTTATATAAAATTTACAGTTTTTAGTAAATGTGATAATTTTTTGAACTTCTCCATATTTGCTAAATATCTATTATAGTTACATATAATATATTAAAAAATATATATTCGTTACCTGATGAATTATATTCAAATTTAAAATAGGAATATATCCATCAAATTTAATTCTAAGTATATTGGTCGGCGTTTCCTGGGTGGAATTTGCATCATATAAAGAATTAAGAGTATTTATTATGGATTCTGCTAAAGACGCCTAAAATATATGATTTTTTAAATAAATAAAAATATTTTTATTAAAAATATAGGTAATTTGATGCTTATTTTATATTTTAAAAAATTATAACGGCACATAAAATATAGGAAATTACATTAATTATACTATGTTAAGTTTAAACAATTTCAATCAGTATGTTCTTAAAACATAGAGCATATATTTTATATAGTGCAACTTGTTTTTTATGGAATCAAAAATTTAAAACAGAAAATAGAATTCAAAATCAAAATCAAATGAATTATACAATTTCTGGGACTTGTAATGAATAAAGGTGGAAAAATTTATTGTATTTTTTTATGGAAAAGTAGTCCCATAGTAAATAGATGCATCTAGTTAAACTTGATATAGATTATAGCACTACAAATGCCTGGCCAGTCATAAAAATAAACTAAATCAGGATAAGTTCAAATTTTCAAAATATTAAAAAATAATATGAAAACAATAAATTTCTCTGTGATCAGGGTTTAAAAAAATTTTCAAAAAAATGTATAATAATATGAAAAATATACTTAAAAAAATAATTATTTGAATAATCTTCTTCCTCAACGTAAGAGAATAGAAAACTTGCAAGCTTCTATCTCATTTTCTTTTTCAGTTAAGAGGGCTTATCTAAGAGCATGAATATTTACTTTCATCACTATATTCAACCCATCAATTTTTAAAATAGAGATGTAAAAGAGTGGCTAAAAGACCCTCTTTTAATTTCCATCTAAAATGTTAAATGACATGAGGATGTGGGCATTGTTAGTATTATAGTCTCTGCTAAAAATATCTTATGACGATAATAGCTTAATATAAAAACTTAGTGGAACTGAAATCTATATCGTTCTACTAGATCATTAATATCTTCAGTTATAATTTACTCATTTTAAAATAATATGGGAATGAAAGATTCATAATAACGTGGGTTACAATTTTAAATCACAAATAAACAAATTGAGGAGTTACATTTAAAGTTATTTATGATGAAAAATAGAGAAATTAATTTGCATTTGTCTGTAAGCATAATAAATGCCAAATACTTTTTATTTTAAATATAAGTATTCACATGACTGCCTAACCCTGTCTGTGATAAAGAAAAACAATTAGCTATTTAATTTATTTGACTTCATAAAATATATCTTTATATTAAAATTTTTAGACAATCCAAGCTCACAATTAAACATATTTAGCTTAAGAATAAATAAAAATTTCAGTCAAAGTACAGGTTTAAAAATTTAAAAAAACAAATTGGGCCAGGCAAGGGCTTGTAAAATTAAACTTGCAGAGCTCTGTTAATTGATTTATATTAAATATTTATAGGCATAGCCGCAGTGTACTCGGAAGTTCTCCATATTTTACTTGAGAGAACATCACTAGAAAGCATGGAATCCATGATTTTAGCCTCCTAGTAATAATAGTTCATGAGATATCAATGATTAAACTTAAAAGTGCTAAAAAATGACCCTTTTCGAAGAATAAAATTAAAATAAGTTAAAAAATAATGATGATAAAAATTACATGTCATTTTGTAATAAGGAATTTTATAAATAATAATAATATTGCGGTTTTTATTTACATTATAAATTTTAAATCTGAAATCTCCAGTTGTTTGGCTTAGCGATTTTTTTTTGAATTTATTAATCACTTACATTATATCTATTTGCAAAACAAAATTTAAACTTGGGATAGCCATGGGTTTATTAGTTATTGCAATTTTTAAAACAACTATAAATATATTTTTCAAGTCTAGATGACGCTCATATTTAAAATAGTGTTATTTTGTTAATGTTATATTTTTTTTTATTTTTTAAACATAATAATAAGATTTTCCAGCATTAATATCATGAAAAATATTATTTAAATCGCTGTTGATAGGCTTATTTATTATTATTATTACTATTGATAACTTATAAAAATTATTGTTATTAATAATAAATGATTAAATTTCCTAAAAAGATAGTTATTTCGATATCTCCTGCAGGAAAATATAATAATTAAATGTTGAAAGATAGAAGCCTGTTTTCATTCCCCTATCTGCTATTTTACAAATATATCGATATATATTTTAAGAAAATTATTTATAATGTATAAATATAAATCAAATCCTTTTAAGAATCCATTAATTATAAAATGAATCTGTCAAAAGTTATAAAAAGAATGACTTAATTTCCAAGTAATGAGGCGGAAAACACATATTTCTGATCAATCCCTTGAATGTGTATCACAAAAATATAACTTTTTATAGCGAATATGAAATAAATAATATCACCACAGCAACCACAGCAATATATACAATCAATATTATTTTAAACGAAATTAAAATATCTCCTAAGAAAAAAAAAACTAACTGAAAAAAATAATCCAAGAAAAAGATAGAGAAAATATTAAAAGCTATTTCAGATATAATAATTAACCATCTAGAATAGGTTAGTTGCCAAGAAAATTTTACCAAGACCTTATTCAGATCAAATAAATTATTACTTTACATTTATATAATTATGCTAAAGAGCCTATAAAAGGTATAAATTTTTCTTATGCTATCATACCAGAGTATGAGCCAGAAGAAATAAGGTTTATTAATAAATTTATCTCAATATTGGGATACAAAAAAATTCATGCAGTGCTTCCAGTTGGTTTTACTAAGCTCAATACTAAAACATATTATAATTCGAAGACGTTATTGTGGAGAATATAGTAAATCCATGTGAGGATCTGTTAATCGATGAAATTAGAGGATATGTGACCTGTATGTATGAAAACGATTGGTTGTAAGAATTTTTGCAAAATGAAGATGTAAATAGAGATTAAATTATAAATTTGTTCCATTCTAATGGACAAGTCTATTTTTGTGTTTATACAGTGACGACCTCCTTTTCATATCAAAAAGAACTATTTTACAATGAGCCCATTAAAGATGACTGAGCGTACTTATCATTTATTGCTAACGAAATTATCAAGGCATCAAAAAATTTCATTTGATGAAAAGCAGAAAATAAGTAAAATCTTTCGTGAATTTTAATTTTCCTATCATATTTCCAAAATAATTTTAAAAAAAATTACATGAAAAAGATGATTATATTTGCACCCAAATAAATTTATTTCACGATATTAACTTTGAAAATTGTATATAAGTTATAAAATGGGAAAAATTCCTAAAAAAATATTTCCAACAAAAATCTTAATTTTATATAGGAGCGCCATCATTTTTGAAATATCTATTCTTTTTTTTAAAACGTAATAATTAAAAAAACCATGGCTGGATTATATTTTTTAAATATATTGTTATAATATAATAATAAATTCAAAGAAATTCGGGAAGTGAAACACCTGGAACTTTAAGGCTCAATATTTATTATAACGTAAATAAAAACTGCAACAATACTATTTTATAAAACTTCAAAATGACATATAATTTTTATTTTTAGCATCATTATATTTTAACTTATCCCAAATCTTAAAAATTATTTTTTAAAAAAGGACATTTTTGGCACTTTTGACCATTGATATCTCAAAAAGAGAAACTAATAGTACTTGGAGGCAAACATTTTGGATTCAATGATTTTTAATGAGGTTTTCTCAGTAAGCAATATTTATCAAAATTAGAAAAGATGGGCCTTATCGATTTGATGGAATTATTTATATGTTACAACTTTGAGAAAATCAATGTAAACAACCTGGCCCAGTAATAAATGGATTTTTCAGCTATGATAATAAAAAAATATGCAAGTTGCCTAGCCCATAATATTTAGGAAGATCAAAGTTTTAAAAAAAACTATGTAATTCCAGACTGGCAAGGTCCAGCCTGTAAAAATTTTTTGCATAAGCTTCCCATTCCAAAAATAATATTTTAAACAAGTTGTCAGCTATAATTCTGTTTAGCCTGACCAAATGGATTTCTAATGCATATGATTATCTTCTATTAAAGTATTTAATATATTTGAAAGAGTGAAATAGATCTTATAATTAATTATTTTATATTTTACTTATTAATTTAAATACTCAAAAGATAAACTAATGAAACTTAAAAAACAATGGCAGTAATAAATTGAATAAAAAAGTTGAATTGATAAACAAAAACAATTTATGAAATAAATTTTACTGCAGCTGGAGGGACATGTGAAGTATCAAGATGTTTGTGAGTGGAATTTTGTGCATATATTTTATAACCCCTTAGAGAGGTTTCATTTGTAGAGTGTGAAAAAAAATCCAAAATTTTGGTAACAGCACCAGGATCAAAAAACTCAATAAATGCCTAAGATTGTATATTAAAATTAATAATAAATAAAAATAAACTTGATTTTTTGCTTTCAATAAAATCAATTTTTTTACTTTTCCAAATGGGAAAGCTAACTGAACTATTTCTTTTTCTGTAATATTTGGGCACAAATTTCTCAAGTGAATCACGTAATCTAAATTATCCACAATTGATGATGAATCTATTTCATCTTATACCAAATAATTTAATATGTAAAATTAAATACTTTCAGCTATATTAACTATGCAAACTTGAGATCTTTCTTGTTCAACACATAATATCTTAAAAATTATTATATAATCAATATAAAAACTGACTTAACCTTATTATTTTGATTATTTTCGTCAGGTTCTGACTCATCTAAATCACGCTAGATATAGCAATATACATAAATATTTGAATATTACATATCATACCTTTGACATTATTCGGTTAAATAAAACCACATTTAGTTATCCATCCAGAAAAAGCTTAGGCACTTATGGTTAGATTACTCTAATTAAAATTGAAAATAATGAATACTAAACATTCGTATATAATAAGATATTAAATTCGAATCAGATGTTTCATGTTTAGTATATAATATAGCCTATATATCACAATACATTTGTGAGGGTTTGATAACTAATAATTTTTAAATAAGACCAATAGTTTATATAGCATCTATAAAGGTAAAAAATCATTTCACGTATAAGCTTATAGTCTTTACTATGAACCTTTTAAAATTCGTTTATTTTATGTAGGTTATAATTATTAGTAATTAAGTTTTTTTTAAATTCATATCAAACAACTTTTTTATGTGGATTTAAAATCGCTTATGCCTAAAATTCGAAAATTAAAACAAGATCCTCCAGAAGGTTGGGAATTAATTGAACCAACATTGGATGAACTGGAAAGAAAAATGAGAGAAGGTTTTACTAATCTATTATGCACTTTTTATTTAAATCTTATTATTTAATTTATTGAAACGAGAGTTCAAAACGTTATATACACATTTTTAGAAGTAAATTATAATTAAACTAAATATGCCATATTTTTTTTAATTATTGTTAATCTTTTTCTCTCAAATACCTTTTATTTTTAATTGATTATGTTTAAAAATAGCTGAAACAGATTCTCATGAGGGCAAAAGAAGAGTTGAAGCTTTATGGCCAATTTTTAAAATTCATCACCAAAAATCTAGATATATATTTGATTTATATCATAAACGGAAAGCCATTTCTAAAAGTATGATTAGTCAATAATATTATAAATTAATATATAAAATTAGATTTATATGATTTTTGTATTGCGGAAGGTTTGGCAGATAAAAATATTATAGCCAAATGGAAAAAGCAAGGTTATGAAAACTTATGTTGCCTTAGGTGCATTCAAACAAGGGATACAAATTATGGAACAAATTGTATATGTCGAGTTCCTAAAAATAAACTTGAAGCGGTACTTTTTTTATTTATTTTCCTTTAAATTAATTATTCTTTTATTTTGCACATTAAAAATTATTTATATTTTTAATACATAAGTAAAATTAATTTACAAATAAAATCACATTCCCATTTTTTCTCAGATTGTTCGTACTTATTGTTCTATCCTTACATAACATTCCGTTAATCTTCTAATATCCATACTATTTTTTTCACAATTATCTACACCATGTTCTAGACTTACTTTACACCTTCTAAACATAGACATTGTCTCTAAACTTATTTTTCCATTCCACAATAAAACAAAATATCACCACATTTCCTTATAATTTTTTATCCTATTACTTAAGTTAAGACTGTACCTTACCTTTAACCTAAATATATTTTAAAAAATTTAAAACTTTTGTAACTATAAAATTATGATACATGTCCAAAATCTTCTATTAAGAATTTTAAAATTTCCTACCAAATTATTTTAATACTTCCCATTTTATATTATAATTTGGGAAAAATATTGCATATTTTTTTTGTAACAACATTATAAACTTAAAACTAAAATATATTAAATTTTTATAATTTCTCTTACTTTAAAAAATTAATAAACTTTCATAAATTTGAGAAAATGATTTAGATCCCTATTTTACTCTTACATTAGAAATAGCTTATTTTTCCATTTTCATCTAGGTTACGAAAGTTTATTAATGATGTTTTTGATTTAGGTCACAACCAGTGGTGTATTACCTAAAAACTTGATGGGGGTAGGCTAATTTATTATATATATTATCAAAAATTATGATGTATTATCATTACAAATAGGAATATATTTTATATTATATTTTAAATGTAAAAAATTTAATACAAATTATGTAAATATGAATTTGAAAAATTTTGATAAATCTTTAATTTCTTCATTTTCTTTGGGCTGTATTTTTTAAAATTTTTATTCCCCTGTGACGATTCATTCTATATTTTAATACATGGATCTGGAATCCATTCCGATATCAAAGGTCAATTAATATTTATAACATTAAATTTAACAAATTATTTACTCTTATACTTATCTACCATGATCAAAATCATAAGAGGATAAAGTATCCACACAGTAAAGGAATTAGAGGCTTAATTTTATTTATTGCCTTATAATTTAAATGTTGACAAATTGTTAATAGGTTTTTTAAAATTTAATCTCAAAACAATAGAAGTGTAATTCATAGAGTTTAACATTTTTAATTTTACCACTCCCCGATATATAAATGGTTGTTTATTTAGGTGTTTAACTACAAATATTTTAGGTTATGCCTTATATTTTAAAAAACAGGACTGGGCTACAATAAAATATGAAGTCAGGACAGTCAATCTTAGTGAAAACTGAAGCCAGGTTAGGCAAAAACTAAATCCTGAAAATTTTGTCAGTTATTATTAGATGTGATGGGCATTCCCAAAATTTGCTGGGTGTTATTGGGCATGAACGTTAATTTATTTCACTGAATCATGGAAATTTTAATTTTTAAAATTGTTTTTTTATAAATAAAATTTGCAATATAATATATATCTTCTAATTTAATTTAGAACTTTTTAAAAAAGAATAATTTTGAAAACAAATCACTTCTGTATTTTATAAGCAATATTTTCTTCCTAGTTGTATAAAATGTAAATATATTGAAAAATTTTAAATCTCTCAATTCTCGTTCAGCAATGGAGACTTGGTAATAAATAAATATTCAAAGAATGCTATAATCTGAGGGCAGATTCTCGCCCCACAATATATGAAGTTTATCTCTGGAACTAAAATTAGTAAAATTTTGTCAACCTTCTGAAGATGATACAAATTTATAACCCTAAAAATAGAACATTTCTTTTAACGGAAAGATTTATTATGCAGCCACTACATAAGGTAAGCTTAATTCTAGAACTGAATATCAAAAATCTTGACTTTTTAATAGACAAAGAAAAGAAAAATATATATTAAATAGTCTGTAAACATTTCTAAAAAAATCGATTCATTGACAAAAATCGAACATGTTCACTTTCAAAAAAAGGAACGTGTTCTGTTCAAAATTTTATGATAAATTTTTTATTTAAAATGTTTTATATTTTTTAACACAATTATTAGCCATGTTAAATAATATAGTTTTATTTTGATAATATAATTATAAATACAATATAATATAGTGAATAAAAAGATATTTTTATTTATAAAAAAAAAATTTCCTTATTTATTTTTAATAATGGTTTTTCAAAATTTTCATCTGATAGCCAGGAACGCTTGGCAGTTAATATGGCATTAGCTATAGTAAAAACGCGCTCTACAGGGGCGATGTACTTAAACAACTCTTCTAACGCGGGGAATTCATTAAAAACATTTATTGTTTTCCCCTTTGTTTCAAAAAGTTGAGTTAAGTTATCCTCCTTCAATCCATCTACTTCCTCGTCAAAAAAAGGATAGCTTGAAATTAACAGTTCTTGCATTATCATTTCTAGGGTTTTCAATGCATTTTTTAAATAACACTATTAGTTTATTTTTTATAGGTTAGTTCTGTGGTAGTTTTATCCATGGCCATTGAATCTTGAATTAATGATATTATTTTTCTACGTTCTTGTTCTGTGGTTTATCCATGGCCATTGAAGCTTGAATACTAGATATATAATTGCAGAAAGATCATATTCTTCATATATATATAATATATATGTTCAATCTTTAAAAAAATAAAATATGTAATTAAGTTGATAGTGATAGGTTTAATACCTTTTATTAATCCCATTTTATACTGTGTCTATCAATGGTTGACCATATTTTATGCTGCTATTTTTTTTTAATTTTAAATTAACTATCTTTATTGTTGTAGTCAAATAGCCCAAATGCATTTTTTCTTCAAATTTAATTATACTTAGTTATATTATATAAAAGAATAATAAATATTACAATCAAATTTCGTTTTAAGCTGGTACTTGAAGATTTTGAAATGATATTATACTTTTTGGGCACATTTTACATTTGATAAGTATTGAATTAGTTCCTTCAATAGAGGATGTTAATGTAAAATATTTATCATATTTGGGCCATGGTAATGTTAATTTATCTGATTTTGAATTTTCATATTCAGATGATGATGAATAATAATATCCATGCTTATGTTAATCTATTAAATTAAAATATAAACAATAATATTCAAATTAATAAACTAATAATTGTTCAAAAATTGAAATGTGAAAAAGGAAAAACAGCTGATTAAAAATATATGACTTTTTTCTTTAAAAATTTGGATCAATATTAAATTTTTAAATAAATAAAAATCAATCTTTAGAAAATATTATTCCCAAAGTACAGATTAAAAAATCTACCTTTTCCCGGAAATAAAAACCCTAATTTTTAAAAAAAAAAATTTTTTTTTAAGAAATGGATTAAATGGCTATTTATTGATACCAAAGATAGGTCTATAATATATTTTTTAAATAATCTTTATTTTTATCGGTTTTCGAATTAATGACACCATTTTTTACCTTTTACCCTCCATATCTCCAGAAATAATTGAGTTAGAGATTAAAAATTAACATAGACTCCTCACAACATAAATATAATCATCACGCAAAGTTTCATTCGATTTGAAAGAGGTCCACGAAACCAGATCGATTTTACGTGGAATGACACGTATGCTAATTTTTATAAATAATGGTAACTGTTACCTTTTTTTAGGAAATAGGAGTACTGTTCTACTTGCAAAGTAGAGTTTAATATCTCTTGTGAATTCATATTGTATAGTATATTTTTTAGTTTTTGAGCAATTTACTTATATAACTTTTGACTTTTCTCCAAATTTTATAGGTCAAATTTACATGCAAACCCATTTCCATATTTAACGGGATTCACAATAATAGTTTACTAGTGTTTATGTGAATGTGTAAATTATTTTGTCAGCCACTTATTAAAATCATTTTTATATTTACCCTAATTTATAATTTTCGTATATTTATTATTACAAAACCTAACTATTTCTTTATTATTATTTTTAGGGGAAAATTGTTGAATGTATTCATTGTGGATGCAGAGGGTGTTCTGGCTAAATAATGATATTATTAATATATTTATAGTATTTAATCGATTCTAAAATGCCATTCATATGTAAATTATAATTTTTTTAATATAAATAAACCAATCAAAATATGTATATATGTTTCTCTTTATGTTATTGTGTAGTCAATTAGTAAATAATAATGTATATTTTAAATTAACATGATTATATTACTAAATATTATTTGATGTATATTTAGCATAATTGAGTAGTTTTTCCAATTCCGCAAATTTTTTCGGTAACCCTTTATAGCGAATATTCTACCTCGAATGTTTGCGCCATTATCGCGAAACAGTAAATAATTTGCGAATTCATTTATTTAAAGGAAAATAACATAATTAATGTCAATTTACACTCCAAAGTTCCTTAAATCTTAAATGCGAAATGTTTTAATGTTACTTATTGTCTATTAAATAAGCATGCAACTTTTATCTGAGGTGACAGAAAATAAATTACCCAATTTCTTTCTGATCCCTCACTCACAATTGTAAGCCCGGAGGGGACATTGGTTCAAGTTTTTATCCTAATAAATTTACTCCCCCCCTTCCCCCCCCCATCCAATTTAAAATTTAAAAATATGCATTATACCATTAAAGGTAAATTTTAACAAATATTCTGAAATGCTTATAAATTTTTCCAATCAAGATAAAAAATACTGAGAGCTTATAATTTTTGCTGATCTCAGTTTATTTTTAAAAATCAGAAGATTTTGCTAAGTAATTTTTTAGAGAATTTATTAAAGTAAAGTCATCATCGGTGAACCTTATTGCTAATAATGTCTATTTTCTTAAAATCAATAACACTAAGAAAATTACTTATTTCATAAATTTTGAGCGATTTATCTTTCAAGATGAATTCGTTTTCTGAGCAGTTCAGTTTTATATCTGAACATTAAGGAATAATCCGTACATTCAGCATTTTTTCTGAGCGATGACTATTCTCACATTTTAAAGATTTTTTTAGCAGCTTTAATTCTGAACGATTAAATAGGTTTTTAAAATTGCATGATTTGCCTCAGTTACATTTACATATCATTCATATATTAAATAATTTATAAAAAATAAACTAAAGAACTTTAACCTAGAACTCTCTTTTAAAATTTATAGTAACTAGTGTTGTTAAACGACTTAATATAGCCGATTTTTAAAAACGGCCAACTTTATATTTTAGCCAAAAAATATTACCTAAGCCTTTCAATTAAATTATCTTTGTGCCATCTGAGCAAAATCTTCAGCCTTGTGTAATATATTCTGGATAAAATATTGAGTTTGTCATTTCAAGAATCGGCTCAAAATGAGCCGTTTAACAATACTAGTACCCGGAATCGGTATTCATTTTTAGGATATACTTCTAACAAATATGCGAGTAATATATTTTTACATTATTTAAAACGTTGGGTGATTCATTTGAAGGTTTATTTATTGTTTAAATTTTTTGATAGCTTTAACAAAGTTTGAAACCTGGAACCCTAGGAATCTCAATAATTTCAAACAGGAAGTATGAATCCATTTTAAAAATCTTAGGAACTAGAACCTCTACAATAAAAATATTCAGAACCAACCTCTATTAGTATAGGTTCTGTTTTTTTTAAATTAAAATAGGTAAAAATTGATAAATAATGCAAAAAAATATGACAATTGTTGGAATCAAAATCTTAACTACAATATTTTTTTAACCAGACAAAAATAAATGTTTTAAACATATTATGTTAATTTCAATGATAATGAAGATGATATTTATGGTATATAATTTTAATAAATTTAAAATTCGAAAGGATCATTTCATACTAATTGATAAGTTTGGGTTAAGTAAAAAATAAAACATTCCACAAATTTGTAAAAAACATGAGTTTAACATAATAACCGCACAATCTTTTAAATGTTATTTTTATTTTTGAATTATATAGAAAAATGTATTGCTATCAAAGACCGATCTAAGAATACACTGATTTTATAAAAAAAAAAAATTTTTTTAAGTATTACAGGTCTCCGACGCTCAAAAAGGTTCTGGCAAACTTATGCAAAGGCTGGGTCGTAAATTTGAATTTTTGGTAAGCCTTGACTTTGGCAACATGTCTTTTTCCTTCATTAAAAATTATTATCGGCCACTATGACTTATCTCAAATTATTTTCAGGGTTGGGAAAAAATTTACCGGATGGGCTAAAAAAAACAATTAAAAATTTCCAAGGATATTATAGTGAATTTAAAATGAATGATTTATTAATCAAAACATTATTTTCTTTAAAGACTAAATAAATATTAAAGATACTGAAAAACATTAATAAGTATAATATAGTATATTTAAAAAAATTTATTTTAAGGATTGAATATTTAAAAAGGATATTGATATTGGAGCTAAACTCTTGTTGATTAAAATTATGTAAAAATTTTGATTTACTCCGATTGGAATCGGGGGAATATTTTGAATAAAATAACAATTTTTAATTGATCCAATTTTTCCCGTTTTCATTTCTTTCACAGTTTTAATCATAAGTTTTACCGAGTGGTCTTGACCAATATCCACGAGGATAAATTTAAAGGCTTTTATCTTATATGGGTAAGTATTCTGAAAAAAATAAATAAGTAATAACTTCAACAACTTTTAATATTTTACTTCGCAAAGCACTCTTATATCCACGCTATCCGGACTATTTAAATTTTTATCAAAATATGATATAGAAAAATGAGTTTTTTCTGACATTTCGGATATATTAATTTTAATGGCATCTTGAGGGTATAGAGATGCTACAGAGGTTATACTCGCCCTTATGTATATATCAATGTTGCCTAAATGTTCATTTTTAGGATCGAACTCAAAATATCCCGATAATTTTGTTATATCTTGAGATTGATATTCCTGAATCGATTGAATTTTACCCATACTCATCAAATTGATAGTATTACCTGTCATTTGATTTTGAGATTGAAGTTTCCAAATGGTAGGATCCCATTTATACGGGAAATTCAACAAATATAATAATTTTTTGTCTTGGAGCAAAGTCTCAATTTTAATTTCATTTAAAGTAATGATGGGGGGTTTAATTGTAGGCTTAGATACTTTGTCCATTTTTGTTTGACACAGTATGCTTCCTTTACGAATATCATCTGCCTTTGCTCCATAAATACTTTTAAATCTCCTAACTTTTTTAGACCCACCAGGTGACGATCTCTCCGTTAATTTTTCGGGAATATTCAATTTCGCAATTGTGCAGGAAAAGTTTTTGTTGGTTATATCTGTTTCGGCCATTTTATTTTAATAACTTAACTACAAATATAAATAAATAAAAGGATGACATTTACGACAATTTCGTAATTCTTTGTAATCAAGATAAGAAAATAAATAACGCAAGCATAAACTTTTAAATAGATTGATAACTTTGCATTAATAAAATAAATTGTTTAACATTTATAATGGCATCCACTGCGTCAATAGCAATGTTCACATAATTGCCGACACTTAGATTACCTTCAAAATTTATATTTTCTATCGATGTCTGCGTTTTGTTATCATCAGGATTATATTCTAGATTTTTACGTTGTGATCCTTTTTAAAGAAGTTATAATGCAATATGAATTAGATAAAATTAGATCATCTTTGGGCAATTATATTTCCATAACAATTGAGTTGTATAAAGGATGGTTTCATATGCACCACTAAATCAAAAATATATAGGTTTAGATAATTATTCATAGTTAATATAGCATAGATATTTTGAAGACATATTTTACTAGTCGGGTACATGGGCCGATTTTTTTATATACATCCGGGTCGGGCCGTAAAATCTTTTTAAAAAATTTATACATCATGAATTTTAATATTCGTCAATTAGATATGGTTATAATGATTATATAATTTACTTCCATTTTTATAAATATTAGTTTTATTTTTATAAATGCAATATTTAATATAGGGTAGGTCTATAAGTCAAAAGGCTGCATGATACGAAAGGCTAAAAAATAATATTGAAAATAAAAATAACAAAGAAAATTTATTGCTTTTTTTAGGAGAAAAATATTATAATAGCAAATTACATTATAATATATTAAAAAAATGGAAATTTTAAGATCTTTTCAATTTTTTTATTAATTCTTTGAAATAAATTGCTGTTTTAATTTTATTAATTTATATTTTTAATTAAATTATATTTGGTTATTTTAAAAAAATGGATTATAATATTTCAATTTTTTTATTAATTCTTTGAAATAAATTGCGATTTTAATTTTATTTAATTTTATTAATTTTTAATTTATATTTTTAATTAAATTATATTTGGTTATTTTAAAATATTGGAATTTTTAAAATTATATGTATATTCTATTTAAGTTTTTTTTCAAAACTAAATTGATAGTAAGTATAACGATATTGTGAGTACTGGAATAGGGAAAAGGCTAACATCTTAAACGTAATTTTAAGTATCTTTATATCATTCTACTCAGAATTAAATTTCCTATCCAATTATGCTTAGATGTATTTTTTTACGTTACCGGTTCAAAAAATAATATTTTTGTCGCCAAAACGTTCGAAGGGAAAAGGCTAACATCTTAAACGCAATTTTAAGTATTTTTATATCATTGAACTCAGAATTAAATTTCTTATCCAATTATGCTTAGATGTATTTTTTACGTTTCCGGTTCAAAAGAAATATTTTGGTCGCGAAAACGTTCGAGAGGGAAGGCTAACATCTTAAATTTAATTTTAAAATTTTTTCATATCATTGAACTCAGAATTAAATTTCCTATCGAAATATCCTTTGATGTATTTTTTTACGTTATCGGTTCAAAAAATAAATTTTAAAATTTTTTGGTGGTAAAAACATTCAGTTGGAAAAGGCTAACATCTTAAACGCAATTTTAGGTATTTTTATATCATTGAACTCAGAATTAAATTTCCTATCCAATTATGCTTAGATTATTTTTTTACGTTACCGGTTCAAAAATAATATTTTTGTCGCCAAAACGTTCGAAGGAAAAGGCTAACATCTTAAACGCAATTTTAAGTATTTTTATATCATTGAACTCAGAATTATATTTCCTATCTAAATATTCTTTGATGTAATTTTTTACGTTATCGGTTCAAAAAATTAAATTTTAAAATT